GAGAGAGAGAGAGAGAGAGAGAGAGAGAGAACACAACTCGCAAGTAGCGCAATGAGAACCTCGCTTCGTCACAATGTCAAGGAGAAAATACTTGGAGGGAGGTCGGCGATACAGCCACTCCCAGCCTGGAAGGTAGTGGTAGTTTAATATTACTGCCAAACCAGACACGGCAACAATGACAAAGACGATGGAAAGAAATGTATGACACGGGGGATTGAATTCCTCGCACAGGGCATTCATGTTTGTCTTCCAGGCCAAGAAAGTCCCTTGGAAAAACAGGTAGCGCAAAAGAGTGTGCGACCAAAGATGGTGAAGATGTCAAAAACACATTAACAGTGGCAGTCGTATGGTCCTGAACATGGATACGAGTCACCGGAGCACAGCCCGCAACCCGTCTCCCCACCAGATAGCCATAACAAGTCAACGACGATGAGCTAAGTCTGCTACTCATTGGGCGGGATTCCAACTTGCGCTATGTGGTATAGTACAATGTAGCAGAAAGCTCCAAAGTGGGGGGGGAAACAGCCAAAGAAAGTCTGAAAAATGATAACAACAGTGTCAGCTCGGGCGTACACATGCCTTCAACGACTGCCAACGACTTCATTTCTTTCATTGATATGAAAAAAGTGCACACCACTGTAGACTATAGCCAAATAGCCAAGTGGGAAGTAGCCACTTTAGTATCTGATGGAGAGCATGGCCAGATAGTCAGTCCTTACCATCTCACAAAGGTTATAGCACTGTCATCTATGGTATAGATGATTCGCTATAGAATAGTATAAATGTATAGAGATATACACACTACTTTAGATCAGGCATTAGATCAGGCATTGCCGCATTGCCTACACCTAGGAGCCTACTATGCCTTTGAAAGTTCTTTATACCAGATGTTATTCCAGCTCATCAAGACTAGGCGTGCGTACAATGTTTTCCGACAAACAGACAGTGTAACATGTCACTTACACGATGACATCCTTCATCACAGCTGTCACAGCTGGCCTCTCTTCTGATCCTCGACAACTGCCTCTCTTACCACGGTCGGCTTGCCCGCGTCACAGCTCCTACTCTTTTAAGGATCTAATGCTGATCTTTGAAGGGTCTGATGTAGGCAGTTCAGTTGGAACTTCGAAGATCAACATAAAATTTTGAGCAGGCATGTGGAAAACATGTGGCCTCGTTGCCGCGCACCATCGCTTCTCCAGTACCCCACGCGAAAAAAAAGGCAAGATCAGCAAAAACTTTAGAAAAGTGGAAAAAGCTTCAGTCCGGCCAAAAAGAGGTAAGATCTACAAAAACTTTTGAAAACTGGAAAAGAGCTCTCTCGCCCTTCGCAGCATGGGCCAGGGTTCCATAATGTCTCGATCATAGGGCCATGACTGGCACCACTGCTTCATCGCAGCAGTCTCCGCGGCAAATCAAATATAGATACTTGTGACCAAACTAGGAGACCTCACGCGATCAAGACAGCTACACAGCAGCGATCACAAACTCGAAAAACAATATTTCATAGCTGCCCAGAACAAAAAGCACGTCTCACTACCACGAGCCCCACAGCTCCATCCAGTCCACTCCCCCCAACCATTCTCTCTTGCTGGCTCACAATGCAGTATACATAGCCAACAAGTACAATTGCCAGTCAGTAACGAGAACCAAGAAGACCCAACTGGGCCTTTTGCAAATTACGGCTCCGTTCCGGGCCCACATATCTCAGGCCCAAGACACTCCCCCCCAACTCAGTTCTGGGCCCAAGAAACAACCGAGTGAATACTGGTTCCAAACACTTACATCCCCTTGAAACTCAGTCAGTTTGGGGTCTATAACCGAGTTTCGACGGCTAAGTTACAGACCCCTTGAAAGTTGAAACTCAATCAATTTGGATCCTAAAGATGTTCTGGCCCGGGCCTAAAAAAACTTTCGGACTCAAAGAAGCTTGGCCTACCCAAAGAAGCTCAATTCTGGGACTGAGAACCTCAGTTCTAGTCCCAAAAGCAGTTCCAAGGTCCAAACCAGGATCCCCAAAGCGCAGTTCTGAGTGCAAAATCTCGAGGCGCAAGAACGTTCAGATCAGGGCTCAGAGGGTTGATTAGGAAGACGACCCGTTGTTCGTGGTGTTGAGATCTGGGTGGACACAAGAGAAGAAAGGGCCCAGAAATAGCTCAACTGTGGGACCCTCAAACACTCAGCTGTGGATCCCAGAAGCAGTTTGGGGCCTAAACCAGGGTCCCGAATGCTCAGTTATGGGTGCTGAAGCTTGGGGCGCGAGAAGCTAATTTGAATACCCCTCTGCTGTGGCCCCCGGAACGATCAGCTGAGGGCCAAAAAGCAGCTCTACTATGGACGGAGGCAAGGGTGAAGAAAATATGGGACAAGAAAGCGACTATAGGAGATGAACAAAATATGGGACAAGGGACAAGAATGGAGGGGAAAGAACAGGAGGGTAAAAGAATGGAAGGATCGCCTCGCAAAATTACAAACACTCTACCGTGGAAGAATCCTCCACAACTAAGAAGACTGGCTGACAGAGGGAAAAAATAGTGCACTGAGCGGGCCTTCCATTGGCCCCCCAAACTTCCCACCACCTCCCCATCAGAAATGAGTTGAGTGAAACACCTCCACCTCGAAACTGCAATGTCTAACACGTTCTGTGAAAATACACTCTGGAATAGCTTCTGTACAATGTCCTCGTACATATTCTCCCTGAGAATCTCCCACTTTTACCTGCCTGCAGATTTCTTCCACCCCAGTTACATTTCGACAAGAGCTAACCCGATCACCAGAAAGAAGCCTCTAGCGCCACTGTGACACAGTCGCACTCGTCATCCGCAACGATGCCGCACCAGCAAGAACCTCCACCCTACATGCATTTCTACAAAAAACTACTCTACGACCATAAAGCTTCTAGCGAAGCCAAGACGTGGATACATTCGTCGTCGGCGTTTCCGCCCCAAGGACTCAAGGAGAACCTCTGCCTTCAACGAAACCAGAGACATTCCATTATGCATGCACGCATGCATTCAGCACCACAAATAATCAGGTTATTTCACCTCCTCCCGTCTAGCTATGCCAGGACATGATCACACTCATCCAGAATGTCGTCTCAAGGGAAACTTCTCCCTTCCCTCAGCCAAAGGCATCCCCGATGTCGTCTCAGGTCACAGCATGCACGCATGCATGCAGCGCCACAATACAAGGTGAATTTCACTCCCTTCTCAAAAGCTAACTTGCTAGGTGTACATATCCACCTGCCTCCCTCAACGACATCCCTGTCCGCAGCCGGCCACGGTCTTCAGTCCTGTTTCCGGCTACACGACCCAAATGGTATCTTCCTGCGGAGAGAAGGTAGTGTCATAGCAGAGGGCCACATCCCTGTCTGCTGCACGTAGCACTCTTCAGCTCCGTTTCTGACTACACAACCCGAATGGTATCTTCCTGCTGAGGGAAGATAGTGTCGTAGCAGAAGGCCACCCCCGTCTGCATCAGCTAAAATGGCCAAAACAGGCGGCCTACCCCTGCCATATCCAGTGTTGCACAGCTCTGCGCTGTAGGCCACTTCAGCTCCTCTTTCAATTCCTACCATGAGTGTGCAAATCAGACCACCTGCCATCCAGCCGACTGCGGAAATTCGAAAACATATTCCAAAGATCTCCATCTATGGAATGCAGCTTCCACCCACAAATGTGTTTTCCACCACCTCAATCCGCAAAACATCGATTGCAATCCATTTGCACACTAGCGCCAATCAATCAACCAATGGAAATTATGGAATGCTTCCAATACTAAAAAGAAATGATTAAAAAACAACACAAACCCACTCTTTTCCCTGCATGCGCTTCAAGATGCAAGCGAGAAGAGGATCGTACCATCATCATCGTGGCGTTTGTCCTGAAGCTATCCGAGACATGGCCAGGTACATTGCACAGTTGCGAGCCCAGTCGAGCCACCACTGCACAACCATAGGCAGTCCTGCAGTCGATCCACCGTCTTCCCCCCAACACAAAGCACCCTCATTTTCACTGTATCGGGCCAGAAACATACCTTGTATACGCTCATTTTCAGGGGGCTAAAGTTCGGGGGGGGAAGACGCTGATCGCCAACGTACAAAGAGCAACATGATGCTTGCTCCACAAATCTCCCCTCAATGGCCCCTATCGGCAACAGAATTACTGTTTAGAGAGCCCGAATGACTATGCCGACCTCCGGCAATCGCCAGCCCAATTCTGACAATACAAAAGGCCCAGAATCGTCAACCGATTGCCGGCTCACTGACACAGGAGGTTGCATATCTGTTCTTGTCCTATCTTTTCGGCTCCTCCTTTCTTTGAGAGAAAACACTGTCACAACCCAACACCCACTGCTTTGATTTCACATAGCAGCCACTGATCAGCCAAGAATCACGAACTCGATCAAAAGTTGAAAAAACGCATTAGCAGCATAACCCATGAAAAGCCCTGTATCCTGACGCTGGCAATCTCAGTACCCCTTCTGAGTCAGGGCATACTCGCATCAGGACTTTCTTCAACGTATCTGACTGTAACTACAGTGAGACCAGGATGCATCTGACTGTAATCGCGTCCAGACTCCAGAGCTCATTGAAAAAAGTCTTGCATGAGTACACCTAACAATCTAACTGGCTTTTGCAGAAGCGTCAAAGAGCTGATAAAATGCAGAACGATCCCTGCCGTATTCACCCGATGGTCATTATAGCCACGTATCTGAGGCAATTTTCTGTCCACTTGCAGCGATAATGACCGGGCGTTCTATTCGGGTGAAGACGGTAGTGGATATCAGATTACTGCAGCGGAAAATGAAATTTCAGAATGACCACCAGCGATATGTGGACTCACTTTACATGAGGAATGAATGATGGCGTAACCCAGCCGCATGGAAATCGAGCCAGACATGAAACATAGCAAGAGCGGAGCCCGTTGGTGATAATATCAGTGCTAGGAAAGCACGAATCCGGACACTGAACTGACCAGCTTCGTGCTTGCTCAGCACAGATATAGCATCAGTGGGGCCTGCCCAAATATCAGCACGACGATCACTCTGCTTCAAGCACTACTGCACAGACTGCAGGCGGTGCATGTAGATCCTTTCTTTTTTCCTCTTTTTTCCCTTTTTAAACCACCAGTACCTACCCGTTGTTCCGGCCGTTAACACGGTAGCCAAATCGGTCTGCCCCTAGGGTCCATATTCATTCAACCCTGGGGGGGTACGAAAACTGCGGTAGGTGCTTGTGGCTTAATGTGAATCCTCTCTCAACAGTTTGACCAAAGATCAGTGGGGACTGCCCAAATATCAGTACGACTATCACTCCGCTTCAAGCACTACTGCACAGACTGCAGGCAGACCATGCAATTCCACACCCATCCACCTATCTCCTCACATGCACTCCACCCCCCCCCCCCCCCCCCCCCCCCCCCCCCCCCCCCACCCCAATCACATGTGGCCGATTTCTTATGGGTGTGTCCCTTTTCTTCATGGCCATTGCCAGAATACTTTGAGTTGGTGAGATTTCTTCTCCGATCCCGCAGATCCTGGATCGCGATCGTCCCCGTTCCACGAGCCACAGCCATTACGTGTGCCCCACGATCCACTCTCCACGTTTGCCCCCCAGGACCCACAAACCGCGGTGCCAGTCCCACTCCACGATGCCGGCCCTGCTATGGTCCCGTCCCATGAGCTGCAGTCAGCGCTCCCGCTGCAGGATCCGGCTCCACCCCATGACCCAACCACTTCAGTATCGCTGAGGTCTTCTGCCCTCATCGGGCCCATGCTACCTGACACAGATGACAAGCCACCCCAAGAGCCGACCATAGCCTCGAAATTGCTAACGCCCCCGCTGACTGCCTTCTTCACTCCTACATTGCCGGACACCAACGACGGTTCAACTCCACGAACAAATATTGCAATCTGCGTAGCATATCCTTCATCCCCTGGGGGACCGCCATTCAACACTCCTACCCCATCGAACCACACTGTGTACCCATGTTTCACAGCAAGAGGCGTTGCCCATTTCCTGAATTCTTCTCGAGTCCATTCGAACCGGTGGTCGTCGTTCCTTAGCTTCACAGTGGACCAGTCCTCTGCAATTCCTCGCTTACTAGCAACCCCATTCTTCTGCTGGGAGGGGGAACCACTGGCACTTGTACACCTCTGATCAACGGTTGAATGAGAGGTGGGGCTACTACGCAGGGCCTCTTCAAGGCCTCCAATCACTCGGTTGCCGCCTCCCACCCGACAACGTGCAGTTTGATCCGCCCGTCCGCTTGACGATTCCTTCCTGCAAGAATTACCACTGCCCGCTGGAACAACTCCACCCTGAGAAGCTCCAATACCAGTGCTTTCCTTGTTTGCAGCAAGAGTGACCGCATTCGATGACGAAGAGACTCCGCCAGATTCGAAGGACAATGGTGGCTGAATGCTGTTCCGGACAACTCCACCACCTCCTTCCCCCTTTCTCTGTGTTCGCCTCTCAGCAAAAAACAGAGGGTTGAACTCAATGTTCGGCGTGGACACGATGAGCACCCTAGGCATCATTCCCCCGAGAACGCTGTCGCCAACCTTCACAAGATCCTCCTCATCCATATGCTCGACGACCTGCAAATGCATCCAACATGCTCAGTGCCCAATGTGAATCACACAGTCCATGCTGGCGCACACCCCGGTAGAGACCCTTTATGCCGCACACGAAAAGAAGAAGAACAACTGCACCGCAAACAACTGAGCCTACAGACTCTTCCCACTGAGCACAGGGAAAGATGACCATAATAGCACAGAAATCAATAGAGAGCTATATATAATATATATACAATATCCTTCTCTGCCTTTATGCTGAGAAGATGACATTTGTTCTGGGAACTTCTGACCAGTTTTCCTCCCTCGCTCCATTTCACAACGTTCTACATGCACTTGGACACTTTCTGGACCGATAAATTCAAAAACTTTGGAATTGTCACAATGCACCTGGTCCAGAAACCGTCCAGATGCATGTAGAGTGCTGTGTGGTGGAGCGAGGCCCTATATGTCATCCCTGGTCATTTGGAAACAAAACAAACAAACAAACAAACAAACAAACAGAAAAAAACAGAGGGCAAAACAAAACCAGCAACGCCACAGGCTTCGAGTCATGAGCTGTGGATGAAGGGCATTAACCCACCAGTACATCCAGCTATCGGCCGCTGTCCCTTTTTGGAGGTCGCCCGCCGCTGATTCAATTTATCTACGGCGCTGCGCCTCCTAAATTTTCGTACACGATGAGGCTTTTATTTGCCCAGCAAGGCTGGGGCCGTGTACTGGCGGTTTAAACTCTTAGGGGCGCACCCAGAAGTCCTGAGGCCAATAACTTGCTAAACAGCGAGAACCAGATTGAGTCCTTCCCCAGAAAAAGTCTACAATCAGGCTCCACAGGATCCAACGAACGAAGAGCCTACGGTTCTATATAAGTGAACCATGGGCACATATTGCACACAAATAAAAGGACTCAAAACGTGTAGATCTCACACAAATCCAAAGGCTCAGAAAATGTTTCCAGGCACATCCAGAGCTACTGGGTCCAGGCATACCCCAGATCACAGCCACATGTCAGCCGCTTAGACGAGTCAATTTCAGCCCTTCAAAAAGGGGCAAGAGGAGCCAGACCAGGCCAGTCCAAGCACCGGCATTACGAGGACAGCACCAGCAAGACACACACACACACACACACACACACGCACACAGAGAGAGAGAGAGAGAGGGGGAGAGAGAGAGAGAGAGATCTTATACACATCTAGATGTGTATAAGAGACAGGTGTGTGTGTGTGTGAGAGAGAGCCTGCTTCCAACAACAGAATGAAACCACCACAACCTTGCAGGGTCACCTTTCTCCCGAAGTAGCTGTGGTTTGTCAACCGGATCTGTGCTTATGTGTGTGAGAGAGAGAGGGGGGCAGCATGGCTATGTAGGACGTGCTCATGCACCGTAGCTGAGAGAAGAGAGAAAAAGGGGGTATGGACCGAATCTCACAATACCGGATTGGTAAACAGAGAGAGATTATTGGGCATAACAACCCTGACCTCATAAATCGCAGAACTAGGAATTTCACCCAAATGTCCCAAAAAGTTGCAAAACACAGCTATGGGGAAAAAGTACGAAAAAGTTGAAAACTTCAAAAAAAAGGAAAACAAAACAAAAAGACACACGCCAAAAAACTCACCTCAAGGCAGGTCGCGAGATCGAATCCACGCAACCTGGCATCTGGTTCATTTATAGATCCCTCATACAGCACAATAGACTCGGGCAATGACGATGCCCTGCAAACTGATGCCTCACTATCTGTGACCTTTGTCTTGAGCACCTGAGAAGAGTGCCACACCAATCACCATCGTCATTTTTGGAATCAGTGTGGCACATGTCTGCACATGTGTATCATCCTCATGCACTCCCCATCTGTCCCTTTCCCCCACCCACTTCCTAATCGTGTTCACTCTCCATTTACTGCTTGAAGCTTTGACACCCCTCCCCCCTCCGCCCTCCCAATTTCCTTCTTTGTTTCTCATTCCGTCTACCTGCCTATGCTTGCAGAATATAATTGCCAATTCAATGCCAAATAATTTGGTACACCCATGACCTGTTGAAATAGAGACCTGAGTTTCGAATTCGGATGCGACCAGATGAGCCCAAGTGGGCTAGCTCAGTTGGTTGAGCACGTAAGTGGCACTCAGGAGGTTGTGTGTTCGATACTCGACGTAGTCCTTTCGATTCCGCGGCCTGCTAGGGTATGCTTCGGGTTCACCAGCGGAGACAATTGGATTCAGCTTCTTGGCTGGTCGTGGAAACGATTGTAGCTCTCTTTCCAGCCTATGACAGGTGTTATGAGCTTGGGTGCTGCGCCCCGCACAGAGCAGAATGAGGGGCTGCTATCAACCATCATAACCCTTGAGGGCCGCCCAGATTGTGTGCATGCATACATAGGCTTCGCTGAAAATGCAACTGGACAAGGAGTAGATAGGTAGTTAGGAAGAGATATAATGAGAGAAGGACACCGCTATGATCATGGTTGCTGCGGTGAAATACGCTTGGGTCAATTCTACCATTTGCAGATCACACTCGGATCGACGTCAGTCACAGTTATGGCGTCCTTCGTAGCTGAGGCGCGGATGCCGGCGTAGTTGCCGAGCTCGGAATCAGAGTGAGCCGATGTGTGGATAAATGGCATGCACGGATGCGGGCGGTGGACCGCATGCGCACGAAAAGAAGTTGACTTTGCATTTTACTGGGGGAGCGTGCGCGGTATGTTCAGCGGCCAGAGCGCAACTCTCAGAGGGATTAGGTGGGTGCAACATTAAAGGCCAGCAGCGGGCATACCTCTGACATGATAGGCGGTATGCCGGTGGCAAGCATGGTCGAGACCCCTACGCGGCGAAGTGCATGACTATATCTTCAACCAGAGAGATAGAATGGTTGCTGTGCATATAGCCTCTGAGGATCCAACTCGTAATAATCAACGATTCCAAATATTCAACGTCATGACAATTGAATTACAACTTTGGTTTATAGTACTTTATACTTAATATAGGGAAGTTTTTCAAAAAAAAAGAACAAAAAAAAAAAGAACACTCAGTCATTACATCTGAACTTGTGGCAACTTCCAGTCCAGACGCAGCGATAATTTGAGAATTTGTTCGATTTCCGATAGGTGATCATCGGCACAAGTCATTCTGTTCCTTTTCAAAAGAACCAAAGAGATGCTTGCCATTAACCAAAAAGAAAAAAGAAAATGATCCCTTGTCGCGAAGTTATCAAACCGGGCATTCTATTCAGGGGAAGATGGTAGTAGCAGTCCTGTGCACAGATATGGAAAGGGAAAGCGCACATGACAGAAAGCAACGGGTCCACTGATCCTCGTAGCCAAATCGAAGGCAGCAATTTCATAGTACCAGTGCTGGCCGGTCCTAAAGCCACCATGGCTATGCAGTCGTTGTAGCAGTCAAATCCAAAGCCTACTGTCTTCCTCCAAATACAACGCACCCTCATTTTGGCTGTACCTGACTGGAAACAAAGCTTGTGTACATGCATTATCAGGGTGCACTATGTTCGGGGCAAGACGGTAGTCGTCACAGGCATGACTACTATGAAGGCTACCATGGCTGTGTAGCAGTAGTCCACAAGGGAGTAGGCATAAGCTAAGCAGGTAGAGGCAGATGGGAACTCTACATATAGTCTCTGAAGCTAGGTGGAAGAAGTGACTCAAATTAGGGAAGGACGTCGTTGAGGTATACCGGCTATCGTGGAAAGAGATGGGATGGGCATGATAGTATCGCATTATCGACTGAATATCTGTGTCGAGCACGAGTCAGTCTCCACCATAGTTACATATGCAATCAGCAAAGGAGTGATAGAGGCGTAGGAGGAGAGGAATGACAGAGAGACCTGAAAGAGAGCTCTTTGGCTGCTGGTTGTTCATTTTATTCATGAATTACAGTATGAAATTGTCTAACTTACAGAAGAGCAGGTGAAGACAAAAGGAGGAGGAGATGGCATTTGAATTTTGAGAGTTTTTGACGCAATCTTGTGTTCTTTTTCGGCCTTCATTCCTCGTTCTTCTCCTTCCCTGGTCTAAAAAAACCCACTTATTCTCATCTTGTAAAATATTGCAGTGTCTCAGGGTTGTCTAACTTGTCTTGCATTGTGAATTGAGAATTAAAATCATTTAATTTGATTTGAAGTTTAAACCGCCAGTAGTACCCATGAGCTGCTGCCACTGCCGAGCCTATCCACGGCTGGTGCCGGCTCTGTGGGAGGACAGGCCGAGAAAAGAGCTGTGGTTAGCTTGAAAAAAAACAAAGAAAAAATGGGAAAAGAGAACAAAAAGAACGTGACGAGGGGTGGCTTTGGCCTACTGGTTGCCAGCTGGCATTGGCCATTCGGCTGGAAGCAGCCGTTATTTTCGGTGAAAGTTCCGTGAAACTTATTTTTTAATGTGCGTCATCCTTGCACGTGAGCCATGCTAATCTTCTCTGTATCGTTCAGGGTAATCTGGCCGGCCGTCGGCGGGCCCGGAACCGTAGGCGGCTGACCTGCCTACGGTAGGCGCTGTCGGTGCCGACTGGTAGGCGACCGGTAGGCACCCCGCAGTTGGGGAAAAACATTGGCCGGGGTCCTACCGGGCCCGCAGTGCGCCGTCAGCCTCACCAACCGAGACTGGGCCCCGGGAAGCTTCGTAGGCTCCAGAAAAGTGAGAGCAGAGCAGCACTTCACACCATTTTGCTGCTATCACTTTCGTAGAGCGTCGGTGCCTAGCCCTGCATTGGTTCCCCTATTTACTTCTGTTCTCGAACCCCCCCCAAACACCATTTTTCTGCTCTCACTTTCGTAGAGAGCAGAGCAGCACTTCACACCATTTTGCTGCTCTCACTTTCGTTGAGCGTCGGTGTCCAGCCCTGCATTGGTTCCCCTCTTTACTTCTGTTCTTGAACCCCTCCAAACACCCCCTCTTTACTTCTGTTCTCGAACCCCCCAAACACAGCCTGAACCTCCTCCAGAGAACCCCCAAATC